TATGGGGCTAGTCCTCATTGGAGAGGTAACCAAGCCTTCACTCCACTGCCCACACTCCACGCTTCTAACCAGGTGATGCCCCTCAGCTGTCTCCAGGCCTGAGACTTCTGCTTTCTCTTCCTCTGGGGAAAGTCCAGAAAAGAAAAGAGGAAGCAACAACTCATGGTCTAGAAAGCAAGAGGTTTATTTTGAGATTTCCACAAGTCCTTGATAAATCCAGAAACCAACTCTGGTTTCGGGAATGACAAATACTTAAAGCCCTGAGCAGTTGCTCTTAAATGCTAGGCAAGTGGGCAAAGCCACAGGACTGGCCCTGCTTTTAGCTAATATGTAAGCAGCTCGGGCCCAGAGCTCAAGGGAGTCACCCTGTCACATGGATTCACACCAAGAAGGCAACAATGTGGCTTCCTGCTTTGAGGCCCCTCATGCTGAACCAGCTAACAGAGAAGAAATAGCCAATAGCTCCCATGGAGGTAAAACACTTGACTGTTCACCTTTCGCCCTAATGATAGACTCAGAGAACTGGCCTGGGCTCCAGTTCCTGTGAAATGGGCACCTTGAGCAAATCACTTAACATTTGCAGGACTCACCTGCAAGAAAGCATGGCAATAAGAGTAACTGAACAATAAGAATATCGAACACCACCAGGTGTGGTGGCTCAGGCCTGTAATCCCAGCACTTTGGGAGGCCAAGGAGGGCAGATCACCTGAGGTCAGGAGTTCGAGACCAGCCTGACCATTATGATGAAACCCCATCTCTACTAAAAATACAAAAAAAAAAAAAAATTAGCCAGGTGTGGTGGCAGGCACCTGCAATCCCAGCTAGTTGGGAGGCTGAGACAGGTGAACTGCTTAAACTTGGGAGGTGGAGGTTGCAGTGAGCTGAGATCATGCCACTGCAATCCAGCCTGGACAAGAAGAGCAAGACTCTGTCTCAAAAAAGTACATATAATGAAGACACAAGATCCCATTTACTCCTCTTAACCCTGGGAGGCATATTTTCCATGAGAAAACTAAGACTCATAGAGATGAAGTAATCAGCATTAGGACCCAGTGAGTGGGTAGGGAGTTTCAAACCTTTCTATGTTTAGCCTCAAGGCCCATGATTCTTCCTTGACCACAGGTTGTTAGATCAAGTGAGTAAATGTATGTAGCACATTGTAGAAGTCAAGTATTAGAATTCTTGGCTGGGCACAGTGGCTCACGCCTGTAATCCAGCACTTTGGGCGGCCGAGACAGCTGGATCACCTGAGGTCAGGAGATGGAGACCAGCCTGATCAACATGATGAAACCCCATCTCTACTAAAAATACAAAATTAGCCAGGTGTGGTGGAACATGCCTGTAACCCCAGCTACTCGGGAGGCTGAGACAGAAGACTCACTTGAACAGGGGAAGCAGAGGTTGCAATGAGCTGAGATTGTGCCATTGCATTCCAGCCTGGACAATGAGAGTGAAACTCCATCTTAAAAAAAAGAATTTTTAGTCATTACCATCATAGCACTTGATTCTAACTGCTAACAAAAACCTGTGGCTCATGTTTCTCTTGCCCAGGCCTCTCAGTAGCCCTTAGCCATGCCATGCCAGCTATCCCCATACTAGGGGTCCACCTAATCAGGAAAAGACACCGGACTTTCACAAAGTGACCCAAGTTGGCAGTAATCTCTGAGAAAGGAAGGTCTGGCGAGGTCAGGACTGCTCACACCTGTAATACCACCATGTTGGGAGGCCATGGTGGGTGGATCACCTGATCGCCTGAGGTCGGGAGTTCAAGACCAGCCTGGCCAACATGGTGAAACCCCCATCTCTACTAAAAATACAAAAATGGCCGGGCATGGTGGCTCACGCCTGTAATCCCACCACTTTGGGAGGCCATGGCGGGTGGATCACCTGAGGTCAGGAGTTTGTGACCAGCCTGGCCAACATGAAAAATTCAGTAAGCAATGCTTAGTAGTGAAACCCCATCTCTACTAAAAATACAAAAATGGCTGGGCATGGTGGCTCACAAGAATAATCCCAGCACTTTGGCAGGCTGAGGTGGGCAGATCATGAGGTCAGGAATTTGAGACTATCCTGACCAACGTGGTGAAACCCTGTCTCTACTAAAAATACAAAAATTAGCTGGACTACATGCCTGTACTCGCAGCTACTCAGGAGGCTGAGGCAGGAGGATCACTTGAACCCAGGAGGTGGAGGTTACAGCGAGCTGAGATCGAGCCATTGCACTCTAGCCTAGGCGACAGAGTGAAACTCTGTCTCAAAAAAAAACACAAAAACAAAAATTATGTGGGTGTGGTGGCGCATGGGTGTGGTGGCGCGTGCCTGTAATCCCAACTACTAGGGAGGCTGAGGCAGGAGAATTGTTTCTTGAACCCAGGAGGCAGAGGTTGCAGTGAGCCAAGATCGTGCCATTGCACTCCAGCCTGGGCGAGAGAGCAAGACTCTGTCTCCAAAAAAAAAAAAAGAAAGGAAAGAAAGGAAAGAAAGAAAGAAAGAAAAGAAAAGAAAGAAGACGAAAGAAAGAAAGGAAGGTCCAAGGGCTGGGGAGAAGAGTTTCCTTGAAGCTGGCAGGAGAAAGTCATGCCACCAGCTTCCTAGAAGCTTTGTGACTCAACTGTGTAACTCAGAGATTTGCTACCCAGCCTCAGAACTGCCTCCTCAGTTCCTCCAAGGGCAGAGGACATTTCAGGTCACCATATATTCACCTAAAACACTCTCCATCCCTCACTGAAATATAAGAGATCTTGATCATCAGGCTCACTCATTTGACAGTATCTACCTCCACAACTGTTTTTTTTTTTTTTCTTTGCAAAAGGAAAAACTAAATGGAGTCCAAAAGGATCTGTAGCCACATAGTAGAAGCGGTCCTGGTTTACTGCTCTGTGACAGACTTAGAATAGACCCTGAACACACTTTCCTGACAGAGAGCTGGAAAGTTACATTGCTCTGCTCACAATACATAGATAAGCCCTCCTACTTCCTGAAATAGAGCAAAGCAGGAAAAAAGGAAGAATGCAGTGAAGGGCCAGCACAGTGATCCATGCCTGTAAACCCAGCATTTTTGGGGGAAGCTAAAGCAGGAGGATTACTTAAACCCAGGAGTTCCAGGCAGGGTACGGTGCCTCACACCTGTAATCCCAGCACTTTGGGAGACCTTGGCAGGTGGATTACCTCAAGTCAGGAGTTGGAGACCAGCCTGACAAGCATGGTGAAACCTTGTCTCTACTAAAAATACAAAAATTAGTTGGGTATGGTGGCATGTACCTGTAGTCCCAGCTACTTGGGAGACTGAGGCACGAGAATTGCTTGAATCCAGGAGGCAGAGGTTGTAGTGAGCCAAGATCGTGCCACTGCACTGCAGCCTGGGCGACAGAGATAGACTCTAAAAATAAATAAATACATAAATGCCCAGGAGTTCCAGGCCAGCCTGGGCAACAGCGAGCCTTCATCTCTACCAAAAAAAAAAAAAATTAGCTGGGTTGGTGGTGTGCACCCGTAGTCTCAGCTACTCAGGAGGCTGAGGTGGGAGAATGGCTTGAGCCTAGGGAGGAGAAGGCTGAAGTGAGCCGAGATCGAACCACCGCACTCTAGCCTGTGTGACAGAGCTAGACTCTGTCTCAAAAACAAACAAACAAAAAGCAGTGAAAACTGCAAATGCTTGAAAATATCCTCTCATTTGTTCTAAGAGGTCAGTTTGGGCTGTGATCCCCGGGTGCCCTCACTTTGCAGAGCCCCAGGAGGCTCTGTTCTAAGGCAGGAGTCAACAAGCTCTTCTGTAAAGGTCCAGGTAATCAGTATTCTAGGCTTTGTAGAGCACATGGTCTCTGTCACAACTATGTCATCAATTCTGCCTGTGAAAGAGCAGCCACATACATATCTTAACAACTGAGCACGGCTCTGTTCCAGTAATATTTATTTATGGACACTGAAGCCTGAGTTTCAGACAATGTTCACATCACAAAATATTACTAATTCCTTGACAAAAAGGATTCTCCCGGCTGAGCTAAAACAGGTCAGGTACAGGGGTAAGAAATGCTAGTTCCCATCCCCTTAGTCTTAGAAAAAGGCTCTACAGCGTTACTTTTATAATTTAGAACTACAAATAAACGAAAGGGCAGAAAATCGTTGTTGCTCTCCGTCCCCGATGGACTGGGGTACTTTAAGAATCTTCAGGACCAGACTTAGAATACAAGTCCTAAACTCTCATCTTACAAATCAAAAACACTGTGACACTGGGGCCCAAAACAAAAAATTGACTTGGCCAAGGAAAGTAGCAGAGCTGGTGCAGGAATTCGGGTCCACTCCCTCTCAGCTCTGAGGATTCCTATTCTGTTAAAGTCGGAACTCAGGAGTGAGGGGTTCAATATTCCAGCCAAGGAGGCAGGTAAACAAGGTCGCCCTTAGCACCAGAATAATTACAGACCCAGACTTCAGCCTGTGCTCAGGTATGGCTCAGGTGTCCAAAGAACGGTTCCAGGCACTCGAGGGGTGATCCCTGACCCATCTGCTGGCTGCTCGTCCCAGCTAACAATGGGTGAAAACTGGGGCAAGGAGCTCCGTCTTTCTGCGCCCTCTGAAGAGCTTTCGTGCCTTTATAACCACTACCTTGGAAGAAAGAGGGCTGAGAAAGGCGCCCACTTCCTAAAAGAGAAACTTGGGCCGAGCAAGGGGGTCGCGACAGTGCGAAGCGAGATAGCAGCAGAGCCAGCATTCGAACCCAGGTCTCTGAACTCACAGCCCGGACTCTTTCTCACCCCTAACCACAGAAGGACGAAGTGGGGCCGGGATCTCTGGAACCCGTCTCTCGCCACCAGGCGCCGGAGCTACAGCTCCCGAAGATCCTAGGAAATGCAGAAGACACCTGCCCCCAACAACTGGCTGGCAATGCCAATCTAAAGCGGAGGGGCGGGCATAGCCTCGCCTTCCTATAGGCTCGCAGCATTTTCCGTGGCGCGCGAGGCCTCCTGGGAAGTGAAGTCCGGAACCCGGGGTGCCCCGCTCCCAAGACGCCAAGGTGATGGCACCCGAACTCCCGTTCCTCCTGGGCGTTTCTTCTCCAAATCCAAAGTCAGGGTCCAAGACTGCTGCGATGCATCAGCCCCGCCCCTCGTATCCCATCCTGAGGAGGCGGAAATGTTCAGGTGAACGCGCAGCCTCCCACCACTAGCCTGCCCTCAGCAAGGCCGCGCGCAGCGTGGGCGGGAGCCCTAAGTCAGTTAGTGGCTACGCCGTGAGGGCCCGGAGCAGGCCGGGCCCAGGACCGCAAAAGCTCCAACATGGCGGCCGGGCTGGCCATAGAGGGGAGAAAGACCGGACCCACGTCCGCCATCTACTTCCGGAATTTAAAGCCGGTTTCCGGAAGCCGGGAGGGTGTCCCCATGACAACCGACGTTGGGGTTTGGAGGTGAGAGTGGTTGATAAAGAGTGGGTTAAGTGACCAGAAGTCAGAATTTTTGGTGCTGTTGTTTTGGGCTTGGGCTTTATGCTTTGTTGTTGTTGTTTGCCAAGGAAGCCCCGTTTTTAAGTGGATTGGGAGGCGTGAGGAATACTGCTCCGGGTGCAAAGGGAAGGCGGCAGGTAGCGGTAGACGAATTAAAGAGCTTCATGAGCTTGCGAATCCCCACTGCCCTAAACTGGAGAGGATCGTCTTACGTAGAGAGAGCCTTGGGTGTTTCTGCATAACGGATCCTCAAAACAGCCCTAGTGAGTAGTGGTTAAGAGCAAGGGTTTGGCGTCACACTTAGTTATGAAGCCCGGTTCTGCTGACTTCAGACTTGGAGGAATGCCTTGAATTTTGACTCCTGTGTCCTTTCCTGTAGAATGGTAATAATTCTCATCTTGCAGTTGTAGGGAGGATTGAAGGGAATGATCTTGGTTGACAAGATTATCGTGGTGTGGGTACCTATTATTTAATGCGACCGGGTGCGGTGGCTCACACCTGTAATCCCAGCACTTTGGGAGGCCGAGGTGGGCGGATCATGAGGTCAGGAGATCGAGACCATCCTGGCAAACACGGTGAAACCCGATCTCTACTAAAAATACAAGAAATTAGCCAGCCGTGGTGGCACGTGCCTATAGTCCCAGCTACTCCGGAGGCTGAGGCAGGAGAATCGCATGAATCCGGGAGGCGGAGGTTGCAGTGAGCCGAGATCGCGCCACTGTACCCCAGCCTGGGCGACAGAGCGAGATTCCATCTCAAAAATATATATGTATATAAATACATATATATATATATATATGTATTATTTAATGAATGTGGAAACCAGTTACATAACATCTAGTAGGTGGGATTTCACCAGCTGAGGTGGAGGAGGTGCCTTAACCTTCCAGAGCCTCTGCATAAAATGGGGATTATATGCATTATAATGGCTTCTTAAGATGGTTGTAGGATTAAGTAAGGTTAAAAATATGAAAAAAGCTTATAAATTGCGAAACATTTTACAGATGCTAATTTAATCACTAGCAGTCCAAAGCATTTTGAAATTTCTTTATAGATTTGGCACAGCAGCAGGGTCACAGGACACCTCCAGAGCAACCTGTGGGTGTTGGAATAGATGAAAAGAAAGACAGCTGCCTTAAACATAAAGCTTTCCAGGAGAGCCCTGTTTCCTCTCTGCTTTTTCTGCCTACAGCACTTCACACTTTTGTGCCAGCATTTTTCCTGCCAAAATATCAGTATATCAGTTAAAGAGACAGTTTAGTCCGGTAGTTAAGAGTACAGACTCTGGACCCAGGCTGCCTGGATCTGAATACCAGCTTTGCCACTTACTAATGATGTGACCTTGGACAAATTATTTTACCCCTCTTTGGCCTCAATTTTCTTATCTGTAAAATGGGGAAGGTAATAATGTATTATATCATCTACCTAGTGAGATTTAAATAATGTTCGTAAGGTTTAAATAATGTTTGTGCTTGTAGAACACTCCCTGGCACATTGTAACCAATGTATAAGGATTTGCTGCCATTTTTATTCCCACTGCTACTACATGACCAGGCAGTCTTTCTTCTCAGTAATACTACTAGATTCCTTTGGTTAGAGACAGCTCTGCATTTAGAAGTTTCCAGGCATGAAGAAAGGTTGCTGAAGGTCCTAGAAGTAATGACTTCTTGGGTTTTTTTTGGTTGCTGGTTTTGTTCACTAAAGTATCCCATGCAACTGGAATGGTGCCTGGCACACAGTAGGTCCTTAGTGTTTGTGGTATTGGTACATTTCTTTTTTTTCTTTTCTTTTTTTTTTTTTTTTTTTTTTGTTTTTGAGATGAAGTCTCAGTCTGTTGCCCAAGCTGGAGTGCAGTGGCACCATCTTGGCTCACTACAACCTCCACCTCCTGGGTTCAAGTGATTCTCCTGCCTCGGCCTCCCAAGTAGCTGGGACTACAGGCATGAGCCACCACGCCCAGCTAATTTTTGTATTTTTAGTAGAGACGAGGTTTCCCTTTGTTGGCCAGGCTGGTCTCAAACTCCTGACCTCAGGTGATCCGCCTGCCTTGGCCTCCCAAAGTGCTGGGATTACAGGCATGAGCCACTGTGCCCAGCCCAGTCTCATACATTTCTAACCTTGCTTATCTTTTTGCCCCAACAGGTCCTTGTCTTAAAGCAAGGGAAACAGCTCTTATTCAAAGGAACTAGAAGCCTCTCCCTCAGTGGTGGGGAGATAACCAGGAGCTGTTTTCTGGGGGAATTGTGGGATGTGCCCTTGGGGGCCCAAGAAAACTGAAGGAAGATGCTCCAGACCAGTAACTACAGCCTGGTGCTCTCTCTGCAGTTCCTGCTGCTGTCCTATGACCTCTTTGTCAATTCCTTCTCAGAACTGCTCCGAAAGGCTCCTGTCGTCCAGCTCGTACTCTTCATGTGAGTGCAGTAAGGCATCTGGAAAGCTGAACCCAAGCAATTCAAAGGCCCTGACAGTCGTGATTTAGTGTCTTAAAGAGATTAATAGGCCGGGTGTGGTGGCTCACGCTCTTAATCCCAGAACTTTGGGAGGCCAAGGCAGGAGGATCTTTTGAGCCCAGGAGTTTGAGGACCTGCTTGAGCAACATAGCAAGACCCTGTCTCTACCTAATAAAATTTTTTTAAATTAGCTCAGCGTGGTGCCACACACCTGTAATGTCAGTGATTGAGGATGCTGAGGTGGAAGGATTGCTTAAGCTCAGGAGGTCAAGGCTACAGTGAGCCATGATCATGCCACAGTACTCCAACCGGGTGACAGAGAAAGACTCTATCTCAAAAAAAAAAAAAAAAAAAGAAACCAGTTATTGCTAGAACTGTATCAGGGAAGATAAAAGTTGGCATTGTCCTGGGTTCCTCCGTGGTGCATAGATAGGGTCACAGGTCCTGTTTGCATATACTTTTTTTTTTTTTGAGACAGGGTATGCTCTGTTGCCTAGGCTGGAGTGCAGTGGCGTGATCATGAGTCACTGTGACCTCAGCTTCCTGGCCTCAGGTGGTTCTCCCACTTCAACCTCTTTAGTAGCTGGGGCCACAAGCTTGCACCACCATGCCTAGCTAATTTTTTGTAGTGGTTTCGCCATGTTGCCCAGGCTGGTCCTGAACTCCTGGCCTCAAGTGATCTGCCCACCTTGGCCTCCCAGAGTGCAGGGATTACAGGTGTGAGCCATTATACCCAACCTTTATATACTTTCTAACAAGGGTTGGGGATAAGGGGAGAAGTTTACACAGGAAATTAGAGTCAGACTGCTGACCCTGTCATTTTCTCCATTTGTGAGTAGAAATGTTGTCTGCCATGAAAGAGGATTACAAAATGGCAGGACAAGCCGGGTGCGGTGGCTCACGCCTGTAATCCTAGCACTTTGCGAGGCTGGGGTAGGTGGATCACCTGAGGTCAGGAGTTCAAGACCAGCCTGGCCAACATGGTGAAACCCCATCTTTAAAAAATAAATTTAAAAAATGATATTAAAAGAAAAAAAAATGGTAGGACAACTATATTAATACTATATATGTAAAGCCCATAGGATGGAAACTGTTAGCATTAATTCTCCCCAATTTATAGACTCCATGAGGCAATCTCTAAGCTGGGCATGATCTTCCTTCATTCTACAAATATTCATTGGCCTACCACACAGTGTTCCGGATGCAGTGGTAAACCTGACAAGTTCCTGCTCTTGTGGGGTTTCCGTCCTAGTGGAGAAGGACAATGAATACCCAGAGAGAAATAAGATCGTTTCAGATAGTGATGTCATACAGTCGATATGGAGTCATTGGGGTAAGGAGAGGAGGGTTGCTTTTGGTAGTGGGGTTAAAGGAATGTCTTTCAGAACAGGGAACATTTGAACTGCAACTTGAATGGCACAAAGGTACCAGCCATGCAAAGATCAGGGAAGTACATTCTTATCTTGCTAGATGACATTGTCCGACAGGACCAGGTTATGTGACATGCAGGGCTGGCATTTTTTAGACAGAGAAGAAACCAGCTTTTCTTTCTTTTTTTTTTTTTTCTTTTGAGACAGAGTGTTGCTCTGTTGCCCAAGGCTGGAGTGCAGTGGTGCGATCTCAGCTCACTGCAACCTCTGCCTCCCGGGTTCAAGTGATTCTCCTGCCTCAGCCTCCTGAGTAGCTGGGATTACGAGCACCTGCCACCATGCCCGGCTAATTTTTGTATTTTTAGTAGAGATGGGGTTTCATCATATTGGCCAGGCTGATCTTGAACTCCTGACCTTGAGATCCGCCTGCCTCAGCCTCCCAAAGTGCTGGGATTACAGCCATGAGCCAGTGCACCCGGCAGAAACCAGCTTTTCAAAAGTGCCTAGTAGGTTTATGATTAATATGTTAAGAGTGTCAGATAGCCTGGGCAATATGGTAAGACCTCGTTTCTACTAAAAAAGAATTTTTTTTTTTGAGACAGAGTCTAGCTCTGTTGCCAGACTGGAGTGTAGTGGCACAATCTCAGCTCACTGCCCCCTGGGTTCAAGCAGTTCTGCCTCAGCCTGCCTAGTAGCTGGGAATATAGGTATGCACTACCATGCCTGGCTAATTTTTGTGTTTTTAGCAGAGACTGGGTTTTGCCATATTGGCCAGGCAGGTTTCAAACTCCAGACCTCAAGTGATCTGCCCACCTTGGCTTCCCAAAGTGCTGGGATTACAGGCATGAGCTAAAAATGTTTTTTAATGAGCTGAGTATAGTGGCACACACTTGTGGTCCTAACTACTCAGGAGGGTGAGGCAGGAGGATTACTTGAGCCCAGGAGATGAGGCTGCAGTGAACTATGATCATGCCACTGTACTCCAGCCTGGACAACAGAATGAGACCGTGTCTCAAAAAAAAAAAAAGAGCTAGAGAATCTTCTACAGGAATAAGTATGGAAGAAATTTTTAAAAATAAAAAGAGTGTCAAAGCAGGAAAGCCTTGTCTGTGGACTGCAATCCAACTGTTGGAGCCAGTGAGTAATTTTAGCTTCCTGTCATTTGTTATCTGTGCAAGGGTTTAAGATATCAGATGCCTATCTCACAGGAAAGGACAGGCCTTGTGGTGTCCCTCAGGACGTAGGGCCTGCTCTTGGGTCCTCACGCAGGCCTCCATTGGATGTACTTTTTCTTATGTCTGCAGCATCCAGGATATTGCAGTCCTCTTCAACATCATCATCATTTTCCTCATGTTCTTCAACACCTTCGTCTTCCAGGCTGGCCTGGTCAACCTCCTGTTCCATAAGTTCAAAGGGACCATCATCCTGACAGCTGTGTACTTTGCCCTCAGCATCTCCCTTCATGTCTGGGTCATGGTAAGAGTGGAAGTCTGAATTCTTTTTTTAATTTGTATTTTAAATAGAGACGGGGTCCTACTACATTACTCAGGCTGATCTTGAACTCCTGAGCCCAAGCGATTCTCCTGTTTCTGCCTCCCAAAGTGTTGGATTTACAGGTGTCAGCCACTGCACCAGGCCTGAACTCTGAATTCTTGAATCCCTAAAGGGGTAGGGATATCTTTTCTTTGGGAACACAGCTTCATTCTTTGACATCTGACACAATCCTTCATAGGAAACAGGTGAAATGAAAGTGGTCTGGGCTGGAGCTATGTTGAAACACAGCCTTGTCTAAGAGTCACCGGACTCTTCCAGAACGTTCAGTTCACCTTTGCCCCAAACAGGCCTACCAGGGCTAAAACACGTAGTTGAATGTGTTTCATCATGAGCTATATGGGCAGGTGGATGTTGATACAGGTTATTCTTAGGCATCAGTGCCCCATGGCTAATTCTGCAGCAGTGGATTCTGGAAAGTAGCCAAGCAGGATTGCTGCTCGCCCTTGAGTGCTCCCTGCCCTCTGCCGAGTTCCCATCACTTTAACTAGGAGAACCAACCTCCAAGATGCCTCCCTTGGTTCTAACATAGGCCTCAGATCAGATCCAGTGTCCATGGTTTCAGATTTTTTCTGCTTCACAGATTTTTCCAGCTCTTTGGGTATCTCATATGTTTCTCATGTACTCATTTCAGTTGAACCCATTAAAACCTCAGGTTCTCTAGTCACTTCATTATGAAAGCCACCCAAAGCCCCTGTTAGGTTGCACGTGTGATTCTACAGAGTGAAGTAGAGCTCCCCGGAAACAGGCAGAGCAACCCCAGAGCCTCTGGTGCTTCCCCAAGAGGTTCTGTGCTCGGAGCCAAAATAGGTCCTGGCTTTACTATAAAGCCGTTAATCTCATTAAACCCTGAGTCCACCAAGGACTTTATCTGACAGGAGCTGAGCCAGCGATTTTTCAGGCAAGACAGTGACCAGCTGAACTCCTGAGATAATGAGTATATCGTTTCTCCTTGGCAAAGGTTATGGAATGAAAGAGGATAAATAACTTAGTTCACACTTCCTCCCTCAAAGTTAGAAGGATATTCCTTTTGCAGCAAAAAAGGAAGCTTGAGACTCCTTCGAGAAACACTTGTTAGAGTTGTAGAAAGGAGGGAGAGGTCAGCACGATTTTAAACCAACTGGCATCTCTGCAGCTAACCAAGTTGGAGATAATGGAGCCTCATGTGGCCATTAACCTTTCTGTGTCTCCTCATATCTCCCTCAGAACTTACGCTGGAAAAACTCCAACAGCTTCATATGGACAGATGGACTTCAAGCGCTGTTTGTATTCCAGAGACTAGGTAAGGACCAGAGCAGGGTCAGGCCTCTCTTGGGTCCCACGTCTGTCTCTTTCAGTGAGGGCCTTGATTCTGGCTTCCCAGCCCTGTCCCAGTCGGCCTGCAATGGTTGCGACAGCCGCACCAGGAACAGGAGGGATTTGTGCCTCTGCCCTTGCTGGGAGACCATGGGAAGTCAGGAGGCAGGGCTGCCCAGCCTCGTCAGGTTCTGTCTTACCCAGAAGTGACACTCAGCAGCACCCCTGAGGCTTCTCTTCTGCTTCCTCCCGCAGCAGCAGTGCTGTACTGCTACTTCTATAAACGGACAGCCGTGAGACTAGGTGACCCTCGCTTCTACCAGGACTCTTTGTGGCTGCGCAAGGAGTTCATGCAAGTTCGAAGGTGACCTCTTGTCACACTGATGGATGCTTTTCCTTCCTGATAGAAGCCACATTTGCTGCTCTGCAGGGAGAGTTTGCCCTATGCATGGGTCAACAGCTGGACTTTACAAGGAAGGTTCAGACCAGTTGTGTTCACCATTCAAAAAGGAAGATCCTCCCTCTTGCAAATTAGAGTGTTCCCCATCAGTCTCCAGTACAACATCCCTTCCTTGCCTCCTCCCTCTGTCCTACCCCTTTTCCTTCCCTTCCTTTCAGTACCATTCATTCTCCCTGACCCTTCTTTCTTGCCGAGGGTTCTGTGGCTCTTACCCTTGTGAAGCTCTTCCTTTAGCCTGGGACAGAAGGACCTCCCAGCCCCTACTTTCCTTGCACTACACACAAGTGACCAAAGGATTCGAAGAGTGATAGTTTTGTGCTCCTGACCGATCCCACCACAGACATTTAGATTTTTATACCCAAGGCACTTTTTTAAACATTTTATAAAGAGAATAAATTGAATTCTTGTTCCGTAAATGGTGGAGCCTCTCTGTCTCATGGTTAAGAGGCGTGCCAAGGTCTAACTTAGCATCTACTTGACCCAGAGGGAAGATTGAGCCACAGATGAAATACAGATCTTCATTGAGTTCCATTATGAGTACAGAGTATTTCAGCAGACATTCAAGATGGAATCTGATGCTGCATCCCCCACTCTTGGAGTTTCAGATTTCTGTTCTCTGTTCAGACTCTCCTTATCGGAAGCCTTAACTTCCCTCAGGAGAATAAAAATATTCCTTAGCCAGTTTTGGCAAGAGAAATTCTTTTTTTTTTTGAGACAGAGTTTCGCTCTTGTTACTCAGGCTGGAGTGCAATGGCGCAATCTCGGCTCACCGCAACCTCCGCCTCCTGGGTTCAGGTAGTTCTCCTGCCTCAGCCTCCTGAGTAGCTGGGATTACAGGCGCGCGCCACCATGCCCAGCTAATTTTTTGTATTTTTGGTAGAGACGGGGTTTCACCATGTTGACCAGGATGGTCTCGATCTCTTGACCTCGTGATCCACCCACCTCGGCCTCCCAAAGTGCTGGGATTACAGGCATGAGCCACCGCGCCCGGCCAAGAGAAATTCTTAAAATTCCTATGTTTATAGTATTAATCAGTTTTCTATCTCTTTTTCTTGTCTTTTTTTTTTTTTGACAGATTTTCACTCTTGTTGCCCAGGTTGGAGTGCAATAATTGGCACAATCTTGGCTCACCACAACCTCCACCACCCGGGTTCAAGTGATTCTCCCACCTCAGCCTCCTGAGTAGCTGGATTACAGGCATGTGCCACCGTGCCTGGCTAATTTTGTATTTTTAGTAGAGACGGGCATTCTCCATGTTGGTCAGGCTGGTCTCAAACTCCTGACCTCAGGTGATCAGCCTGCCTCAGCCTCCCAAAGTGCTGGGATTACAGGCGTGAGCCACCACACCCAGCTTCTATTTCTGCCTCTATTGTGTAACTGACCATCACCAAAGTTCAGGGGCACACAGCAATAAATAGCTGTCTGGCTCTCTGTCTTGGGGTTCAGCTGACCTGGGCTGAGTGGGTGATTTCAGAGGGCTCGCTCGTGTGTGTGGTCAGCTGCAGGTCCACTAGGTAGCTGTGATGGCCTTGGGATCCATTGGTGGTTGGCGAGCCTGCGTTGACCTCAGCTGGAATGACAGGTTACTCTGCTCTGGTTCACAGGATTTGCCTCCTGCAGACTAGCTTGGATCTGCTCAGACAACCGTGGCAGAGAAGGAAAGAACAAGCCCCAGTATGCAACTGCGTTTCAAGCCTGTGCTTGTATTGTGTGTCTTAGACTGAGCCCAGAAGCAAAGTGGGAACCACAAATTCCTTTTTTTGTTGTTTTTTTTTGAGATGGAGTCTTGCTGTGTCGCCCAGACTGGAGTATAGTGGCATGATCTCGGCTCACTGTAACCTCCGCCTCCTGGATTCAAGTAATTCTCCTGCCTCAGTCTCTGAAGTAGCTGGGAGTACAGGCGCCCGCCACCACACCTGGCTAATTTTTTTTTTTTTTGTATTTTTAGTAGAGGGGTTTCACCTTGTTCGCCAGGCTGGTGTCAAACTCCTGACGTCAAGTAATCTGTCTGCCTCAGCCTCCCAAAGTGCTGGGATTATAGTCGTGAGCCACCGCATCCAGCCCACCAACCACAAGTTCTTAGACTCTGCTATAGAAACTGACGTGAGGCTAAAAGAGTTTGCCCAGACAAGGCTTCATTGGAGCTTAGGCCTGGGCATAGGGGACACAACACAAGTGAAAGAGAGTTCCCTCACTGACTCCAAAGAAAGCCTGCAGGGATCTTTTTCTTAGGCAAAGCGCTGGAATTGACCTTGAGTTGGGCAGGTGGGCTGGGCTGGGCAAAGCGCATGAGGGGTAGGGTGTGCAGGTCAGCATCTGGTCGTGAGGGTCATCTTGAATAATGGACTACCAGCTGGTCTGGCCAATGGCAGCAGGTCTGTATTCTTTCCTGAGGAGGGACACTCCACACACAATGTTGGTTTGATATTTTGAATCTCCTAAGGCCAGCTCCTGGAATTCTATTTTATTTATTTATTTTTTTGAAATAGAATCTTGCTCTTTGTTGCCCAGACTGGAGTGCAGTGGTGCAATCTCGGCTCACTGTAACCTCTGCCTTTCAGGTTCACGCGATTCTCCTGTTTCAGCCTCACAAATAGCTGGAACTACAGGTGCATACCACCACACCCAGCTAATTTTTGTATTTTTAGTAGACTGGGTTTCACTATGTTGGCCAGGATGGTCTTTGTTTCCTGACCTCGTAATCTGCCCATCTTGGCCTCCCAAAGTGCTGGGATTACAGGCGTGAGCCGCTGTGCCCGGCACCCAGAATTCTTTAAATAAAAGTCCTGGTTAAACATTGTGAGAGCACAAGAAGAATACAGAATCGCCATTTCCTTTGTATGACCAAAGCCTTGGCCTTAGTGGGTGCATCAGCAAGGGAGAGTTGTGGGTTTTGTGGTCAGTGGGAATACTTAGTGAAAGGATGCTGTAGTGGGCATAAGCTAAAGTCAAGCCCTGTCTCTATCTCAAAAGTACTACCAAGTTTCAGGGCCACAGGCATGGATACAGGGAGAATAAGAATAGGGGCCATTAATTCACCCAGTCTCACACCAGAAAGCTGCTCTGTGAAAGTTGTTCTTGCAACAGGTTGTTCAATGCAACAAGAAGAGCTGACGATCCCACCCAATACAGGATACATGAGACTTGTCAAGAGACTTGGACTCCCACACAGTAGCAGTGGGAGATTTCAACATCAGTATTAGATAGATCAATGAGATAGAAAATTAACAAGGATATCCTGGACTTGAACTCAGATCCGGAACAAGTAAACTTAATAAACATTTATAGAACTCTCCACTTTAAACGCAGAAGATACACATTCTTATCAGTAACACATCACACCTACTCACAGGTTTAAATGAAATATTGGTTGGCCATTATTAAGCATGATTGATGGTATAAGGGAGATTTTCAATACCCTTTTTTAGACTGCATTCTAGCCTGGGCAATTAAGCAGCACTACCATTCTCTCTCCCCCTCGTCCTCTTCCTCTTTCTTCCTCTTCTTCATTCTTTTTTTTTTCTTTCTTTCAAGAAAAGGAAAATAAACTTGTTCTTCAGAGATGCTTTGGCAGGGTCTGCAAGCTTTTTTTTCTTTTTTTTTTTGAGAAGGGCCAGATAGTAAATATTTGAGGTTTTGCGGGTACAAACACTCAACCATGACACTGAAACATGAAAGCAACCACAGGCAGTAGGACACATAAGGAAAGGACAAACGTGGGTGATTGCAGCTGTGCTCCCTTGTGTGTGTGGCCAGCTGCAGGTCAGCCAGCCAGCTGTGATGGCCCTGGGATCCATTGGTGGTTGGCTAGCCTGCAATGACCTCAGCTGGGGGTTATCTCAGGATCCCAAACATCTCAGGACCCCCAAACTTATGCCAAAGGGAAAGTTAAGCCTGGAGACTGAGTCACAAAACATCACCCCCCTTTCCCAAATGGCTATAAGCAATTTTTTTATTTTTTTGAGACAGTCTTACTCTGTCTTCCAGGTTGGAGTCAGTGGTGCAGTCTGGGCTCACTGTGACCTCCACCTCCTGGATTCAAGTGATTCTCCTGCCTCAGCCTCCCAGATGGCTGGGACTAGAGGTGCATGCCACACAACTGGCTAATTTTTTTGTATTTTTAGTAGAGATGGGATTTCACCATATTGGCCAGGTTGGGATTCTTTTTGTGCTTTTTGGTTTTCTTTTTTTAGACGGAATCTTGTTCTGTCTCCAAGCTGGAGTGCAGTGGCACGATCTCGGCTCACTGCAACCTCTGCCTCCCAGGTTCAAATGATTCTCCTGCTTCAGCCTCCCGAGTAGCTGGGATTACAGGCACATGCCACCACGTTCAGCTAATTTTTGTGTTTTTATTAGAGATGGGGTTTCACCATGTTGGCCAGGATGGTCTCGATCTCCTGACCTCATGATCTGCCCGCCTTGGCCTTCCAAAGTGCTGGGATTACAGGCATGAGCCACCACGCCCAGCCTCAAATGAATTTCTGTTACTTCACAGCCTTGTGTCAAAGCATTATTCATTAGCCAGACCCCAGATCCCCAGGGAAAGGAAAAAGGCCTCAGGCATCCTTAGATGATGCCCTCACAAATTGTTCTGTGCAGGCTTTGAACCCTTTCAAGATGTATATGCTATAAAACAAGGACATGCCAATTGTTACTTTAGATCTGCAATCTAAGTCTAGCTCCTAAAATAAATGTTAGATTTCACACTGATGATGCTTGTGTTGATGAAAAAAGAAGCTGAACTCTAAAATATTTGAAGAGGATATTAATAAGGATATCCTGGACTTGAACTCAGTGATATTTGAAGAGACCTCAGGTGATATTTGAAGAGATTTATTATTCTGAGCCAATGTGAGGATCATGACCCATGACATAGCCCCAGGAGGTCCTGAGAACATTAAGAAGGAAGCAGGTGGTTGGGTTACAGCTTGATTTTATAGATTTTAGGGGGACAGAAGTTACAATCAGAGACATAAATCAATACACACAAGGTGCACATTGATTCCGCCCAGAAAGGACATCTCACAAGGGACACCTTGCCAGTCATAGGTGGATTTAAAGATTTCTGATTGGCAACTGGTTGAAAGGGTTAAATTCTGCCTAAAGAGCTGAAGTCCACAGAAATGTTTGCAGTTGAGATAATGAGGGGGTGTAGAAGGCAATTTTCTTGGTTTTGTTTTGTTTTGAGATAGAGTCTTACTTTGTCTCCCAGTCTAGAATGCAGTGGCACGATCTCGACTCACTGCAACCTCTGCCTCAGCCTCCCAAGTAGCTGGGACTACACTATAGGTACATACCACCACACCTGGCTAATTTTTGTGTTTTTAGTAGAGATGGGGTTTCACCATGTTGGCCAGGCTGGTCTCAAATTCCTGACCTCAGGTGATCCACCCACCTCAGCCTCCCAAAGTGCTGAGATTACAAACATGAGCCACCTTGCCCATCCAGAAAACATTCTTTCAAAACAAAACAAAACAAAAACTGTCCTTTAACAAAAGGTGAACAGGCCAGGCAAGATTGTGCCACTGCACTCCAGCCTGGGTAACAGAGTGAGACTCTGTCTCTAAAAAAAAAAAGGTGAACAATTGTGTCTGATTCCAAGCTTATTTAGAAGTCTTGCATAAAACAAGGTAAAAGCAACCAGGAAAGAAAAGAAATGTAAAGGAAGTTATAAAAACAAGGAAGTTTTTTTATTTTGTTTTGTTTTTTGGTAAGAAAGCTTAAAGAGAAATAATTCCATATGAGAAAGAATCTTGTATGGTAAATTTAGTCCTAGAGTAATATGACTGGTTGTTTAAGAAGGAAGCATGTTCAGAACAAACCAGAAAGTCCAAGCATTTCATGAACAATCTGTGTAAGTTACAATAAGAGGATTTATTTAAAGCCAAAAACTTGGCCAGGTGTGGTGGCTCACACCTGTAATTACAGCACTTTGGGAGGCCAAGGCAGGTGGATAATGAGGTCAGGAGTTCAAGACCAGCCTGGCCAAGATGGTCAAACCCCATTTCTACTTAAAGTACAAAAATCAGCTGGGTGTGGTGGTGAGTGCCTGTAATCTCAGCTACTCAGGAGGCTGAGGCAGGAGAATCACTTGAACCCAGGAGACAGAGGTTGCAGGGAGCTGAGATCATGCCAGTGCACTCCAGCCTGGGTCACAGAGCAAGACTCCATCTCAAAAAATAAAATAAAAATAAAGTCAAAAACTTTTGCCAGGCACAGTGGCTCACACTTATAATCCTAGCACTTTGGGAGGCCAAGGTGGGCAGATCACCTGAGGTCAGGAGTTCGAGACCAGCCTGGACAACATGGTGAAACCCAATCTCTACTAAAAACACAAAAATTAGGCAGGCAGGTGGCAGGTGCCTGTAATCCCAGCTACTAGGGAGGCTGAGGCAGGAGAATCACTTGAACCGGGGAGGCAGAGGCTGCAGTGAACCAAGATTTTGCCACTGTACTTCAGCTTGGGTAACAGAGCAAGAATGTTTAAAAATATATATATTTTTAATATGATCAAGTTGTCACATTATTATTAAGTTTTGGTATGCCTAGGAAAAAAACAGATTAAAAAAATTTTAATTAAGGTTATTACATCCACGTATCTGTCAATATGCATTTTTAAAATACTTGCAACATTAAGTTACAGGGCTTTGGCTCCTGGGTCTAAGAAGGACACCAACTCCTGCTAAATATTAAACACTGACAGCAATTGAAGCCCCACCTTCAGGCCGTATAGAAGATGCTGATCAGAGTAAACTGCGTTCTTGAAGCACAGGGCTGGAAATTAAAGCTATTCAACTCTTCAAGGCCCAGGGCCTACCAAGGAAGAGGTAGGCATATGCTATTGGAAAGGCTGATCTTGAGAGATAAAATAAGTTCAGTTTCTCTATAAATTAATCATTAATGTCAAAGGCACATGGATGCAAGACCAGCATTTGGGCCCCTGTGTCAGATTAACAAGGTTTTCTTGAAGCATTATTCCTTAATAAAAGTTATAAAGGCTTATGGAAGTTATATTTAATTGGCTTCATGCTATTTTTATTGGGGCTTATTGTTTGGAAAATTAAGTCTCCTCTCTCAAAGAATGAAGGTTTTCACTTTTTTTTTTTTTTAGTCCTTGAGTTATCATTGGTTAAATGAATGACTTATTTTACAATGACCTGTGATAACCTTTGATATTTGACAAACTTTCCAAAATCAAATTATAAATGATGTCTTTTTCAGGTCTAATTAATCCTTTAAGATATTACTAATAGGTTCCCTAAAATCCAAAAATGACATATCTGGCTTACTTAGTATAAAAACTATAGAGGAAGCATTGTCAAATATAAAATGATGTTTTTGGTTTTATTTTGGCTGTATTTGTATAAATATGTTATTGGTATGTGTTCCAAAATTATGGGAGACTCCTAAATTCTTTTTTTTTTTTTTTTTTTTTGAGACAGTTTTGCTCTGTTGCCCAGGCTAGAGTGCAGTGGGGCAATCTTGGCTCACTGGAACCTCTGTCTATTGGGTTTAGGTCATTCCCCTGCCTCAGCCTCCCAAGTAGCTGGGATTACAGGCATCCACCACCACACTTGGCTAATTTTTGTATTTTTTTTTTTTTTTTTCAGTAAAGACAGAGTTTCACCATGTTGGCTAGGCTGGTCTTGAACTCCTGACCTTGGGTGATCCGCTTGTCTCAACCTCCCAAAATGCTGGGATTACAGGTGTGAGCCACCACACCCAGCCTTGGAAACTCCTATAATTCTGATATGATTTAGTGTACATTATCAGTAATAATTTTAATTATTCTGTTAAATTATTGTGTGCCACAGAGGTAACAAATTTCCTTGTCAATTTTGTCTTTGACTATGGCTGCCCTAAAACTTTTTGTCATCCATGGACAATTATTGTTTTGTTTTGGTCCTGTTTAGAAGACGGTTTTATGGTCAGCTATAAAACTCTAGGAAGGGTGCGGTGGCTCATGCCTGTAATCCCAGCACTTTGGGAGGCCAAGATGGATGGATCATGAGGTCAGGAGATTGAGACTATCCTGGGCAATAAAGTGTAACCCCATCTCTACGAAAAACATGAAAATTAGCTGGGTGTGGCAGCACATGCCTGTAATCCCAGCTACTCAAGAGGATGAGGCAGGAGAATCACTTGAATCTGGCAGACAGAAGTTGCAGTGAGCCAAGATCTCGCCACTGAACTCCAGCTTGGCAACAGAGCCAGATTCCATTTCAAAAAAAAAAAAAACAACAACAAAAAACTCATAACAGGTGCTCTTGAATACAGGTTTCTGATAACTTTGGAGATTGTGGCATCCAAATAGAGAAAAAACGTTCAGAACTCATGGAGAACTGAAATGTTCATGAAAATCAAGCAGAACAGGAATTAGGAGTCTAATAGGAGTCTGAAGTAATCTTTTTAACTTTATGCCTAAAATGTTGCTGATCCTTTGTTTTGTTTTTCAGAGTCAAGAAAATGTTTAAGCTATTTATACAGCTTTTAACAATTGAGTAAAGTATATGAACTAAACATGGAGCATATTTGTTTTCCTGGTTTCTCCAGAATTTGAAAACTATTTGTGAGTATTCTTTTTTTTTCTTTTTGAGATGGAGTTTCACTCTTGTTACCCAGGCTGGAGTGCAATGGTGCAATCTCAGCTCACTGCAACCTCTGTTTCCTGTTTCAAGTGAGTCTCCTGCCTCAGCCTCCCAAGTAGCTGGGATTACAGATGCCCACCACCATGCCCAGCTAATTTTTTGTGTTTTTAGTAGAGACAGTTTCACCATGTTGGCCACACTGGTCTCGAATTCCTGACCTCATGCGATCCACCTGCCTCGGCTTCCCAAAGTGCTGGGATTACAGGTGTGAGCCACCTTGTCCAGCTGTGAGTATTCTTAACTTATGACAATACAGTTATTTGCATATGTATAATAAGAATCTGTTATTATTTGTAACAGAATACAATTGGAGAAACTGGTTATTTTACCAAGGCTTTTCTTTAAGGAATCAAACTTGACTTTATGGAGCCAATAAAAGCCCCATGGGAAAACTTGCCCCATACTTTGTCCACACAGCCCCTGTACAAGGTTCCTGACCCGAAGCAAGTAAAGAATGTCACTTTCTGACAGGCCCAGGAACCCCAAGTTTATCTTGTGGAACCTCAAGAGGAGAGGAGCATGCAACTGATAGGTATGTGATGGCACAATTCATGGCTGCACTCGGCTTTTAAAAAGTTTTATCTGAGATTCTTTTTATGAAACTAAGTTCCATCAAAGTCACTTTAAAAGCCTATGTAAAAAATAATTAGGCCGGGTGCGGTGGCTCATGCCTGAAATCCCAGCACTTTGGGAGGCCAAGGCAGGTGGATCACCTGAGGTCAGGAGTTCAAGACCAGCCTGGCCAACATGGTGAAACACTGTCTGTACTAAAAATACAAAAATTAGCCGGGCACTGTAGTGGGCGCCTGTAATCCCAGCTACTAGGCACTTGAGCCTAGGAGGCAGAGGTTGCAGTGAGCTGAGATCGTGTCACTGCACTACAGCCTGGACGACAGAGCAAGATTCTGTCTCAAAAAAAAAAAAAATTACTCCGCCAGCCACAGTGACTCATGCCTGTAATCCCAGCACTTTGAGAGGCCGAGGTGGGTAGATCAACTGAGGTCAAGTGTTCAAAAGCAGCCTAGACAACATGGTGAAACCTCATCTCTACTAAAAATACAAAATGTAGCCAGGCATGGTGGTGCATGCCTGCAATCCCAGCTACTCGGTAGGCTGAGGTGGGAGAATTGCTTGAACCTGGGAGGCAGAGGCTGCAGTGAGCTGAGATTGTGCCACTGCACTCCAGCCTGGGCAACAGAGCGAGACTCCATCTCAAAAAAAAAGAATGTAATAAATCGTCTGTTATCTACCTTTGACCTGGAAGCCCCCTCCTCTGCTTAGAGTTGTCCCACCTTTCTGGACCAAACCAATGTACATCTTACACATACTGACTGACATCTCATGTCTCCCTAAAATGTATAAAACCAACCTGTGCACTGACCACCTTGAGCACGTGTTGTCAGGACCTCCTGAGGCTGTGTTACAGGTGTGTGTCCTCGACCTTGGCAAAATAAACGTTCTAAATTAACTGAGACCTGTCTCAAATTTTCTGGGTTCACACTAATTTGGTGATCCAAGATTTGTTTTCCTTTCACACTGGTCAGTTGTGCCTGAATTCCAAAGGGAGGAGAGTATAATGAGCATGTCCAAACACTCCTTCCAATCATGACCTGAACCAGTTTTTCAGGTTTAGTTTGGAATCCCCTTGGCTGATAGGAGAGTTCATTCAGTCTGTTGGGGTGAGGAAGGAGACCTAAGCATCTAAGACCACCTCCCCCTTGACTTACACGTTTCATTTCAACAAGAGAAGTAAAGGCAGGCAGACTGAGTGCCACCTTAATCACCCTCCTGCAGATCACAGGCATGGTGTGGAGGAATCTCTCTGGGAGGCATTGTTTTTCCTTAAACAGAATCAAACCCCCACCCCACGCCTACTCCATGGACCAAGACCCTTTCCCATGTAATTTCTAAAGCTGTAAACCTAAGACCCTTGCACGTGTAATGTCTAGAGTTCTAAGCCTTTAGAGGTGGGGGGACTTTCTTTGTTAGACGAGCTTGCTGTTAGGCAGCTACGCCGCCTTGTTCCCGGCCGAATCACCCCTTCCTTCCCAGTCCCGTGTTTGAGAGGTCTGCTTTGTGGCCTTTTTCCTGCTTCAGGGGGACTTAGAATCTTACTGTTGGTCTACACCAGGGAGGGCATGGAAACTGCCTGGCTCTTTCCTATACACTGCCCTACACATCTCTTCCATCTGGCTGTTCTAGACTTCTTTCCTTTTATAATAAACCAGCAATCTAGCAAATAAAGTTTTCCAAAGTTCTCTGAGCCATCCTAACACATTATTATACCCAAGGAGAGGGTTGTGGGAATCTCTGATTCATACCCAGTGAGTCAGAAGTACCAGAGCCCCAGACTTGTGATTAGCATTTGAAGTGGAGTCAGTCTCATGAGCCTGAGCCTTTCTTAACCTGGGGACTCTGGTGCTAACTCCATGGAGTCAGAATTGAATCGAATTGTAGGACTCCCAGCTGGTGTTGAATAATGTGTCTGTGTGGGAAAACCTCCCGCACATACCACCATCATATCTGGCTAATTTTGATTTTTTTGTGGAGATGGGGCCTCCCACTGTTACCCAGGCTGGTATCAAACTCCTAACCTAAAGCAATCCTCCTGCCTGGGCTTCCAGGAGAATGCTGGGATTACAAACATGACCCACTGCACCTGGTGGAAAAAAGCACTTTGAAAGGGCTTAGAGACTTCCATTCTTCTGACAAATGCTCTAGTCAGGAACTAGAAAAGCCAGATAAAATTTTTGTTAAAATCATATGTATATGATTTTTGGTTTGAGGCTTTTTTTTTTTTGAGATGCAGTTTTGCTCTTGTTACCCAGGCTGGAGTGCAGTGGCGCAATATATATATACACACATGTAATATGTATGTAAAATATATATTATATATATTATACATATAATATATATATATTATACTTTTAGTAGAGATGGGTTTTTGCCATGTTGGCAAGGATGGTCTCAAACTCTTGGCCTCAGGTGATCCACCTGCCTCAGCCTCCCAAGGTGTTGGGATTACAGGCGCGAGCCAGCGTGCCCAGCCTAAATTTAAAAAATGTATATTTTTAATAGTCTCAGAGAGGTGGTGAACCAAGAGGGAACAGCAGTCTTAAAATTCTAGAGTAGGGAGAATCATAGAGAAGCTGGCAGTTGCAGCAGGATTCTCCCTGGGGCATTTGCTCATTCCGCCATTGAGCAACAGGCTAAGAATCCAAGCACTGCCCAGACAAGGTTGCAGAGAAGCCAGCTGAGCTGAGTCATCTCATAACACTGGAGGAAGAAAGTTGGGGAGTCAAAGAGCGTTTAAAACAACAGATGTTTGACTGGGCGCGGCGGCTCACGCCTCTAATCCCAGCACTTTGGGAGGCCAAAGTGGGTGGATCACGAGGTCAAGAGATGGAGACCATCCTGGTCAACATGGTGAAAACCCATCTCTACTAAAAATACAAAAATTAGCTGGGCATGGTAGCACACGCCTGTAGTCCCAGCCACTCGGGAGGCTGAGGCAGGAGAATTGCTTGAACCCAGAAGGCAGAGGTTGCAGTGAGCCAAGATGGTGCCATTGCACTCCAGCCTGGGTAATAATATCGAAACTCCATCTCAAAAAAATAAAAATAAAAAATAAAAGAACAGATTTTTCCCTTAGGATATTTACCAAATTCTGAAGCTGTGTAGAACTAGAGGCTATAAAAATCTAAACCTACGGCCGGGTGCAGTGGCTCACACCTGTAATCCCAGTGCTTTGGGAGGCCGAGGTGAGCAGATCATCTGAGGCTAGGAGTTCAAGACCAGCCTGGTTAACATGGTGAGACCCTCACTCTACTAAAAATGCAAAAATTAGCCCAGCCTGGTGGCATGTGCCTGTAATCCCAGCTACTTGGAAGGCTGAGGCAAGAGAATCACTTGAACCCAAGAGGCAGAGGTTGCAGTGAGCTGAGATTGCACCACTGCACTCCAGTCTGGGTGACAGAGTGAGATTCCATCTCAAAAATAAAGAAATGAATAAAAATTTAATCCTCAAACCACCGAAAAGCAGTGTAGGATTTTTGACTGACAGGGATGAAGATTAGAATTTAGGACCCACCAGGGCAAAGGGATGGGCAAACACACAGGGCTTTCATTTGAATGAGCAGGAGGGCTCCTTAATGGAAACAGAATGAAACTGGTGGACTGAAATTTGTCAAAATGTAGTGCAGCCTCAAACCATAAAGTCCTTGATGGGGTTAAAGTGATCCACGCCCCTTCTATCTGTCTAGCGAGGAAAGTGTGGAAGAAAAAACATCTGTAAGTTTTTATAGACAATTTCTGGGTCTAATAAAAATTACTTGCTGAGAGATAGGGCCATCTCAATAAAACAAGAGAAAAACTAGGAAATAGAAACAGGTGATCCAAATATTAAAGAAGACAGATAAGGAGTCAACTATGATATGCTTAAGAAAATAGAGGAAAACAAAAATTAGGCGCGGTGGTGCGTGCCTGTAACCCCAGCTACTTGGGAGGCTGAGGCATGACAATCTCTTGAACCCAGGAGGCAGAGGTTCCAGTGAGCTGAGATCGTGCCACTGCACCCCGGTTTGGGCAACAACAGTGAAATGCCATCTCAAAAAAAAAAAAAGAAGGAAAAGAAAATAGAGGAAAATATGGAGGAAACAGACAAAATATCATCAACCTAAAATAAAAGGATCAGAATGTGGTTTAAAGAGAGTTTATTCAAGAGCAAAATTTCTGGCCAGATGAAGCTTTGCCTAAGGTCAGGAGTTCGAGACCATGCCTGTAATCCCAGCACTTTGGGAGACTGAGGAGGGTGGATCACTTGAGTTTGAGACCAGCATGGGCAATATAGGGAAACTCCCATCTCTTTTTTAAAATTTAGTCATTGATTTTTTTTAGTAGAGACAGGGTTTCACCATGGTGGCCAGATGGTCTCGATCCCTTGACCTGTGATCACCCGCCTCGGGCTCCCAAAGTGCTGGAATTATAGGCGTGAGCCACTGCACCCGGCCAGGAAACTCCCATTTCTACAGAAAAATTTTAAAAATTAGCTGGGCGTGGTGGTTTGCATTTGTAGTCCCAGCTACTCAGGAGGCTGAGGTGGAAGGATTGCTTGTGTCCAGGAGGTTGAGGCTGCAGTAAGCTGTGACTGCACCGCTGCACCCCAGGCTAGGCGGCAGAGCAAGATCTTCAAACTGAACTGACAAAGGGGTGGTTATAAAATTGTTCGTCAGGAATTCTCATTGGTTTACAGAAGTCACGTTGGTTCGTGATTGGCCATACCTTGTTGTACTATAGGTTTATAGTATTTTATGGCTCTTTGGCGTCAGTCTAGAGTCCACATAGCAAGTGGCTTCAAGAGTTAATTATTTAGCTCAAGGGGGAATGAGACGTGAATGTGGCTATGTTTTTATATGTCTTTGTGAAATTGATAATTTAAAGAGACTCACATTCCTCAGATAAAATATTTTTCTCCTTCTCAGTTTTTTTTTTTTTAAGACAGAGTCTGGCTCTGTCACCCAGGCTGGAGTGCAGTGGCGAGATCACGGCTCACTGCAACCTCTGCCTCCCAGGTTCAAGTGATTCTCCTGACTCAGTCTCCCAAGTAGCTGGGATTACAGGTACCCATCACCACACCTGGCAATTTCTTTTGTATTTTTAGTAGAGATGGGGTTTCTCCTTGTAGGCCAGGTTGATCTTGAACTCCTGACCTCAGGTGATCTGCCCGCCTCGGCCTCCCAAAGTGCTGGGATTACAGGCGTGAGCCACTGCATCTGACCATAAAGATTATTTTTAATGTTTTTCTTTTCTTTTTCCTTTTTTTGCCATATTGGAGTTCAGTGGCACAATCTCAGCTCACTACAACCTCTGCCTCCCAGGTTCAAGTGATTCTCCTGCCTCAGCCTCCCAAGTAGCTGGGATTACAGGCATGTGCCACCATGCCCAGCTAATTACTGTATTTTTAGTAGAGATGGGGTTTCACCATGTTGGCCAAGATGGTCTCGATCTCTTGATCTTGTGATCCACCTGCCTCGGCCTCCAAAAGTGCTGGCATTACAGGAGTGAGTCACTATGCCCAGCTGATCCCAGCACTTATGGAGGCTGAGGCAGGAGGATCACTTGAGCCCAGGAGTTTGAGACCAGGCTGGACAATATAGCAAGACCTCGTCTCTATTAAAAAGAAAAAAATTAACTAGGTTTGGTGACTCATGCCTGCAAGTCCTAGCTTACTTGGGAGACTGAGGCAGGAGGATCCCTTGAGCCCAGGAGGTCAAGGCTGCAGTGAGCCGTGATTGCACCACTGCACTCCAGCCTGGGCAAGAGAGCAAGACCCTGTCTGAAAAAAATTTTTTTAATGGAAAAATAAAAAAGTATTAAACTATCACAAGAGAGGAATTAGCAGGAAGCAAAAAGGAATGTACCCAAGGAAGGACAAACTCAGTAGAGTCCCCACCCCCAAAGGCTAGAGCTCAGA